CAGATACAAGGTTTTATTCATGTTTGCGGAAGTCTAGAACCGAGAGCCAGACGAGATCTCGGATTGACTTAATCCTAATCTCTGAAGACATGGAAGGTGCGCTGCTCCTAGCAGCGATCTTGCCCACTAGCCCGTATCCGGGTATTGATCATAAGATGTGTACGGTCATTTTGTCTTTTCGTAAGAAACCCGACCATGGACCTGGTTTTTACAAACTCAATGCAACTATCTTAAAACATAAAATCTTTATGAGGGACTTTCTGGCATACACAAAAGCAAAACATTCAGCAGGAAATTGACTGGTTTTAACAACGGCCTATATCAGGGTGAAAAATGCCAAGAATATTCAAAAATTCTAGCAGCTAAAAAACATTAATAGGAAATGGAAATACATCTGAAGCTGCAACAACTGGAGCAACAAGATCCACCCAACAACTTACACAACTCACACAATGACCACCATACACAACCAGATGAGGATGTCGAGGTACAGAGGCTGCAACAACAACTCCAATCCTTTGCCACACAAAGGTGGGAGGGTACAAGCATAAGAGGAAGACTTACGAATTTGAAACAGACGGAACAATGGATAAAAAATTCTTTAGTATAGCCCGAGTCCGTTCACACAGAACAACCACAGAAGCACTATATGGCCCGCAGTCTGGACACTAGGATATTGCCACCTCCTTCCCCCACTCCACGCAGATAGCCAGATCCTTTTTCAAAGATCTGTTCACCTCAAAGTGTGCCAAGAGGGAGAAGAACGCCAAGGAAAAGGAAATAAAGGAGTTTCTGAAACCATTGGAGAAGACTCTGATGAGCCAGCAGGGAACAGACCTAGATCGCCCCCTGTCCAAGGAGGAAATTTGGACGACGATGATGCAGATGGACGGAGAGAAGACGCCAGGCATAGATGGGTTTCATAAAGAATTTTGGGAGGCTTTCTGGGTCCTAATGGCCCCGGACCTTATGAGTTTCTATCACCAGGTATGTGAAACAAGACGGATGGGGGAGCTAGTAGGGCAAGGCGTCCTGACCCTGTCTCTTATACACATCTAGATGTGTATAAGAGACAGGTCCAATGATGTCCAGGAAAGCAGAAATGCACTGATATTCCACCAACGGAGAACCAAAGCACTGAATCCGAATGTCAATGAGAGCATACTCTCGCCACCACCAACATATGTATCCAGGGTCCTTCCTCCTACTTGGCGCTCAGTGCCCAGACTACGATCACACAGCTAACTAGCAGCCTACGAATTGACAATGCATCCTGTTGACGTCAGCAGCAACACCCCAACCACATGAAGATGTCGACCTTGTAGACCATCACCAAGACCAGGTGCATGCCCTCACATCATCAACCTCATCTCTCTCTCCTTCACCCTTGACTTCATCACCCACGTCTTCTCCCTCATACATGAAGACCACTACCACCTCTCGCTGGCTGTCCAAGCCCAAGCCCAGCTACTTGGGCTGGGCTATGGCGCTGCCCTCAGCGGCGCCCTGTTCACACGCACAGCACGCGCGCACCTCCCAGCACCCTGCGCTAGCGCACAGCCTTGGCTGCGAGCACATGCTCAAGCAGCGCTGCCGAATTGCACACCGGTGTCCGAATGCCCCGCCCGGTGCCCAGCCCTTTCCTATGTGGAAAGTGGCGGGCGCATTCCCCCCTTGCTTCCCCGTGAGACCGAGTTTCCAGTAGCTTCAGTCTCGGGCAAAGTGTCTGCGCCCAGGCCCGTTCAGACAGTGGACCGGGACCAAATTAGTTAGGCATGCCCAACCACCCAGGCACAAACGTGCGGTATTCCCTGCTTTGTCCATGTTGCTGGAAGAGCCTGGAAGGCTCACGAATATTTCTGATTCTCACGAGCAAAGCGGATGTAACCAACTGGCACGTGGCAACGGTCTGGCGCCCACCAAGATTAGCAAAAATTGACGAGTTCACATTGAGATTCAGGGGGCCCGCCTTCACTTAGGGTGGGCACGTGCCTGCTGCAGGGCCTTATGCCGAGGCGTAAACCCTCGCATGGTGCTGATTCTCTTCGTTGTGTTCCAGAACTGCTGAGCTGTCGTCGTTTGTCGTTTCCAAGCTTGATTGTGCTAGCCCTTGCTGTGGGCAAGGAGCACTGGAGAGAGTTCTGTTTGGCGAGGGGCATTGTTTGATCAGAGTGGCGAGACAGGAGCAGGGCCTTATGCCGAGGGGTAAACCCTCACATGGTGCTGATTCTCTTCGTTGTGTTCCAGAACTGCTGAGCTGTCGTCGTTGTCGTTTCCAAGCTCGATTGTGCTAGCACTTGCTGTGGGCAAGGAGCACCGGAGAGAGTTCTGCTTGGCGAGGGGCATTGTATGATCAGAGTGGCGAGACAGGAGCAGTGTTGGGCACTGGTTTGAGAGTGACTTATTGGCAAAGACAATGATTAGACACCTGGAGTCAAACTGTGAGGACAATTTGACTTTGTAGACATGATTGTTAACGAAATATCATCATTCTCTTCTGTGTCCTACTTTGTGTTTTCCTCTCTGCATCATCTTGTTTGCTGAATTGCCATTCATCGAGTTCATACGTGAAATCTGTTTGCAAGGCCGGAATTAAGAGTTGGTGTGATTGCAATGAACATGGAAAATTGCAAAAGTTGGCGTGCTCAATTTTGTGCACACAGCTGCTGGTCCTCTCTGTGATTGGTAGACCGACCTTCACCGTGGCCAGCATGTATACTGCAGTTGCCCTCGGTTGATGTCGGGGCCAGTCATGATTTAAGCGAGTAGTTGTGATTGGGTAATCAAAGACCATCTAAACAAAAGGTTTTTTTGTTTACTGATGAGCTAACAATGATGCTGCATGTCTGTGATTTCCTACTGCCGTTGCTCTTCTTTTCTGTCTTCTAGTGCTGGTGCCATTTTCGGCAAATTTTCACCGAAACTGCCATATTTCCCTGAATTTTTTTTTTCTTGTTTTTTTTTTGTTGTTGTGTGTGATATGTATGTGCTTTACGGTATATCTGTATTCAGTTCCGACGTATTTGGAACAGTAACGAAAAAGTTGGCAAATCACTAATGGTAAATAGGTGATGCCATTTTCGGTGAATTTTTCATCGAAACTGCCATATGCAAGGAAAATAAGCAACAGCGAGATGACAATTCCCGTTTACACCGTCACATTGAAAGCCAGATAGTCACACCGTGTCCAGAGAGCAGCATTGCACCAATAATACACCAATGGAGGTTCGTAGTACTGAAAACCAATGTCAAGGAGAGCATACTCTCTCCTCATCAACACAAGAGTCCAGTCCCTTCACTCTCCTACTTAGCGCTCAGCGCCCAGCCTACTCCTAACACAGCTACTACAGCCTACTAATTGACAATGCAACTTTGACATCAGCAGCAAACCGAAGTACTTGAAGATGTCGCCCATGCAGACCATCGCCAATACAAGGTAAGTGCCCTCACATCATCATCATCATCATCCTTCACCTATCCCCTGTCTTTACTCCCACGTCTGTCCTCTCTTACACCCGAAGACCACCCCTGCGCCTCACTGTAGACCAAGCCCACCAGCTATGGTGGCTGGGCTATGGCGCTGCCCTCAGCAGCGCCCTTCTTCCCTGCACGACCGCACGTGCTGCACCTCGCCTCTCAGCGCCAGCCAGCAGCCGCGAGCTCTTGCTCCAGCAGCGCTGCCGCTAGCATGCGAGTGCCTGAATGAGGCTGCCAGGGGTGAGCTCTTTTCTTTATGGAAAGAGCTGGCCTGCTCGCGCAGTCTGGTGGCCCTGGCCTGGGCCCAGTAGCTTCCGGAAGGCCCCAGGAGGCTGCCTGTATACAGCAGCTACTGACTGGGCTGCTGGGCCTCGTTCGGTTGGGCGCCCAACTGTCTCTGTATGAGGCTGCGAATCACGCCCAGGGCCTGCATCCTTTGGAAAAGCCCGGAAGGCCGTGGAAATGTCTTTGTTGCCCGGCCTGAGTTTCTCTCAACCAACTGGCGCGTCGCAACTGCCTGGACCCCAAATATGAAATTGACAGTCGAGGGCCTCTTGCGATATGTCAGGCCCGCCTTCACTTAGGGCGGGCACCTCCGCCTTCACTTAGGGCAGGCAATGCTGTAAACAGGGCCCCATAGGCCTACCGAGGACCCTGATCCTCGCACATATTTCCCTGAATTTTTGCTTTTTTTCTTGTGTTTTTTTTTTGTGTGTGTGTGATATGTATGTGCTTTAGGGTATACTCCAAAAGCTACGTCGAATAGGGTTTTATAGTGCTTTCCAGTTTTTTTATTTCTTTTTTTTTTGCCTGTTTCTTTTTTTTTAATGTTTGTATTATGCGCCTGCATTCAGTGCATTATTTGTTCGCTAAATTTTCAATGACTTTGCTTGTGGTGATGCGGCGAAAAACCCCAAGTTTTGGGCCTTCCATTAACCATCTCTAGATTTAATTCCGGGAGGCACATGATGTTTAAGGATTCAGCCCCACCTGCCAAGTGCCCAGGCATTTCCAAACTTCACATGGCCATAATTCAGCTGGAAGCAATGGGCAACTCGTAAGCCCCTGCTCCTGAACTTTGTAATCATCCCATTCATCTGGCATCTAACCCTTTTTAGATTATTTCCATGCTTTCTCCCACTCAGGAAAAAAAATAAATTGAGATGCATCCCTAATTGTCACTGCTTAAGATCTTTTAACCCATGAGGAGGGATTGGTAAAATTTCATTGCATTCTTATTGTGTCTTTGTGTGCATATGTTTCTCTTGTGGGTATGCCCTGCCCTGCTCTCTCTCTCTCTCTCTCTCTCTCTCTCTCTCTCTCTCTCTCTCTCTCTCTCTCTCTCTCTCTCTCTCTCTCTCTCTCTCTCNTCTCTCTCTCTCTCTCTCTCTCTCTCTCTCTCTCTCTCTCTCTCTCTCTCTCTCTCTCTCTCTCTCTCTCTCTCTCTCTGGCTCTCGCTCTCTCTTTGTGTGTGTGTGCGTCTGTGTGTCTGTCTGTCTGTGTGCATGCTTGCCATGACTAAGGCTGCAAGCACTGCACAATTTTTTATCTCTTTCACAATACGAACTTTTGGTGCTCTGACATTTGCAACAATCATGACAACACGACAGGTAAGTGTTCAGTGATTCCAACCTGGATTTCAATTGGCAAAAAAAACCAGAAAGTGTTCTCACAAGCAGACGAAGTAAAGCACTGAGGCAGTTGAGTCAATGAATGAAAGGTTGGTAATGATATTGTCTTCTGCTTTTTGCAGCGAAAATATAGCTTTGCGGGGATTGTGTCCTCAAGCGGCCCTAGCCAACGTGCACATGAACTGGGCTGTGGCCCCCAGCAAGCCTTGTGCCCGCCCTAAGGTAAGGCGGGCCTGAATATCCACGAGAGGCCCTGATCTCAGCATTTTCCAATGTGGGTATCAGACAGTTGCAGTACGCCAGTTGGTTGAAGTACAACGTGAGCCCCTCCCTGGGCGCTTTCCAGAAACAGCAGCTGCGTAAAGCAGTTGAGCCCAGGGCCGGTGGTTGCACCCTGGGCACATGCAGTGTGAGGCCGACACATCACGAAGTGGCCGCGGTCGAATCAGAATGCAGCATTGTCGTCACAAAGGCCCAGCGAGCCAATGAGAATATGGCAGACACTTGAAGCCTTGAGGCCGCCTGGACGTGCCCAACCAGAAAGGTCCCAGGCCTCCAACTGTCAAAGAGCGCCTGGAAGCAGACACTGGGGCCCGACCGGAAGCTACTCGGAGCTTCCTCGGCCAGGCCCACGCAGCCAGAGAGGGCAGTGACTCCCATATAGGGAGGAGGTTGGCCAGAGGTGGGCATGCT